ATGTATATATATATGTGTGTGTGTGCGTGCGTGCGTGCGTGCGTGTGCGTGTGTGTGCGTGTGCGTGCGTGCGTGTGTGTGTGTGTGTGTGTGTGTGTGTGTGTGTGTGTGTAATATATAATTATATACATGTGTATATGCGAATACTGTTTCTCATTAGTATTAATCAATAAATGTTGCTATATAATAAATTTGTATACTTCATTATCTTAATGTTATGATAATAAATATGCAGCGACTTTTTTGTATTCTTTTTTTATGTGTAATGTGTTCGCGTGTGTCAATGTAAGTGGCGTGTAATTGAGTGATCGTTCGATTAACCGAACGCGTTATTGTGATTACCTGTTGATTCATTCAACAGAATGATCATCAGGTCGCGATATATTAGGACTGAAATAATGTTTTTCTCCTATAGCTCGCATGCTACCCATCGAAACAATCAACACGCGTAAAAATCCATTCTATCTTTTATCTCTTACAATTCTGCAAAGCGATATCAATTCTACTCATACAGTATTTTATTCGATCGAGGCCAATCTCACATAAGAAAGAATCTCGTAACTCCATTTAGTCTGTTCCAGATTCTTCTCGACTACGCGAAATATTTCTTCATCCTGCCGGAAGCTCTATCGCGTCAAATTTCAAAATAGCAACATTCGCGTATATGATTCAATCGACTTTTATCGCTTTTCTATTGAAGAGCTCGGCAACAGCTTAATCTATTTCAGGTCGTCTATAGCGCCATAATTAGCGAGCGATTTCTTGATCCTGAGTGCGGTTAGCCTGGCGGCGGCATTGTGATACCAACATTCCTTCATTACTTTCGACATTACTTGCAGAGCCTATGTAAATAATAAATTATAAATTAATTAATTTACTTATCTAATATTTTTTTACAAATTAATTTTATTTTTATGGAAAAAACAGTTTTAAAATATCTAAAAATTTAGCTAGATACAAATCTAAAAATAATTTTGTTGAACCATCAAAATAATTATATAAGACACTCAAACTGATTGCTAGAAAGTCGAAACATTTTGCAGCGTTGCTCATCATCCTTGAGTTTCCTACATATAATTAGTTTAATGATCAACAAAATTATTTTTAGATCTGTATGTAATTTTGAGATATTATATTTTAAAAAAATCGTTCTTTCTGTACTTTCTTATTGTAATTTTAATAAAATGTAAGTTTAGCTGAAATCATATTTAAATTTTTAAACGATAAATACTATTTTTTTTAATTCGTTTTATCTTTCAATCATTGCTATGAATTGCATTTTATAATTATTTAATTATTATATTTCTCATTACACTACGTTTTTAAGTCATATGAATATTAATATATAAACATAAACATTAGAACAAAATAATTTATTAATTAAAGCTATATGTATATATATATTTTACTTCTAATTTATTTTTTCAAACAATTATTCTAGTAAAATTAGTAATTTAAATTATATACTTTTTTTGTTTTAATACTCACTTCGATTGACTGCCACCGATTCGGTATCGATGGCCGCTGTCGATCAGTACACACGACTTTCCGCATTTCCTCGATAGTTGGATCGGAAGGCACCAAGTCGTAAAAGGGCAATTGATACTCGTCGTGAATTCCACCGACATTACAACGTCTAGCAATCTCCCAAAGAATTAGACCGAGTGCATACACATCGGCCCTCTTGAACGAGTCGAAGTGATTCATATTTATCGTCTCTTCAAGAACCTGAAAGCAGAAAACGTTAGCATGAATTATCGAAGATCCGCCTTCCTGATTGACAAGAGTGCATATCATCGCGCATTATTTTCAGTATTTTTATTGTTTAATAATAGTGTTCGAATTTAAACTTTTGAGATCACAAAATAGACAAAGTAATTCTTACAGATCTTTTGTCATTGAAAGAGAATCTGCTAATTGTTCTATCACATCACATTTTTGAGAAAATTCAATTTAAAAGTACAAAAGTGACATTTTTAAACAAAAATAGCACAAAAAATTTTCAAACAATAAACTATATTTGATAATTTGATCTCTAATTCATAATTGACGATCCCTAAAACTTTATGTACAAGATGTACTTTTATAGATACTTTTGCTTTTTATCTTTCAAATCAGAGGAATCTTCTTTCACATGGCAATATAATTACCTCAGGCGCCATGTATCTCTTCGTGCCGACTCTGTTGTTGAGCTGAATGTCGACGGTATCCGTGATTACGTCGTGCCTGGCGGCCAATCCGAGGTCGCCTATGGCGCAGGTACCATTAGTCTTCACAAGGATATTTTTTGACTTCAGGTCCCGATGAGCGATGGCCGGCTTGCCTTGCGTGCCGACTATTTCCATGTGAAGATGTGCCAAGCCAGTGGCGATCGACAAGGCCATCCTTATCATACCGTTCGTGTCGACGGTCGATCTGTTGAGGTAATCGAAGAGAGAGCCCTTCTCGTGATAATCCGTTATCAACCATAGCTGTGTCCACGTGCCGTTATCTGAAAAGGAACAAAATGACCGCCATTCCATCAATTCACAATTTATTTAGAAGACATAATTCGATCGCAATAGCTCTCAAGCAACGTGCAAGATGATAAAATATGTAATGAAAATCGATAAAGAGCGTCTTTGAATGTTTCATATAATCTGAAGAGATCGTCTGTGCGCTTAAAACATCTCCAGAAATAAATTTGTTTGAAATTAGACCAGCTGAATTTAATTTAATTTTTTTTAATATAAATATGTTTCTTATTAATAATAAATTAGCATGTTAATTTATTTTATAATTATATATTTTTTATTTTGGAACAGAAGGTAACAATAATTCGTATTAAAATTTTCTTTTAAATTAATAAACAAGCTTAATAAATATCCTGAAGATCGCGGAAAGTTGAAAAAGCACTAATCTATTTTTTAAATACGATTTTCGCTAGAATTTTAAATTAAATACGGATATATAAAAAAAATTCACACCTTTGTTATCGGCAGCGATAAAACCTAAAATATTGTCATGCCTCAGCATCACTGTCTGATAAATTTCGGCTTCTCGGAACCAGGATCTCTCCTCTCGCGAGCTGAAGATCTTCACAGCAACATTTTCGCCGCGCCAACGACCGCGCCAGACCTCGCCGAAGCGGCCTTTTCCGATCGTTTCTACCAGCTGAATCTGGCGCGCTATACTCCGTTGTACCAGAAGTGGCAGGCCTACTTGAGAGAGGATGGGCATTGAAGAACGTAAATTTCAGTATGATTAAACATGACTCACGCATTGCGTGTTTGTGTATCATGCCTGATCAAAAGACGAATGGATTAACGTATGTACAAATACGTGACTTTATAAAAGAATCTATTAGTAAACAAATCTGAGTTGTGGATTCATTTAGCAATTTAAATTCAGCGAGCTAATTAATGTAATCATTCATCTGTATTTTTACACATGTAATAGTTTTACACAAATAGTTTATATATGTTAGTATATATTGTTTATATTCATATATATTTTTTAAGATTACATGAGGTAAATTAATAATATTTTACAAAAACAATTTACTACACATTTACTAATGTTGTAAAAAGCAGTAAAATAACAAATCTCTGATGATGAAATCTCTGATATGAAATTCGTATAATTTTTAATTATATTTTAATTATATATATAATGTAAATTTGCAATTATAATTATCTACATATTAAACATTTGCTAATAAATATGTATCCGTAATAATTATAACAAAAAACGATTAACATATTTCTATCAAAAGATTTTTCTTTTCATAAAGATTCAAGAGATATTTGCCTATTATCTTATCATTTTATACTGGTTTTAAATGATGAACTTTAATTTAATTTGACCTACCTGAGCCACTACCACTCGTAGTCATCTCCAACATATCCCTGATAGTGACGCCGCCCAGAATTGGTCGGTCCGGGGCCTCCAGCGAGTCATCCGGAAAGTGCCTAGCCGGCCTCTTTTTGGTCATGTGTATGTGATAGATTGCCATTACGACCACGCAGATCGCGCATATTGGTACTGCTATCGTCAAGGCCATTTTCCAGGTAACCCATGTTGCGTCATCACCACTCGACGATACTTTTGGCAAGATATATTCAGTTATTATTTGCACGTAGGAGCATCGACGGATAAACACTAATTCAACCTCGATGACGCTGTATTGTACATATTATCATACTGAAGGTATGATATATCAATACCAGAGATATTCAATTTGAAACGTGTATTCCTGATGAGTAAACTGTGTATTGTCTCAAAATTTACAAATTACATGAATGCAAAAAAATTTTCTTAAATGTAATTTTAGTAATAAAAGAAAAAAATCTAAAGCAGTTGTATTTTTTTACGCGTTATTTATTTTTGTTGATATTTAGTAACATTATTTGTTCAGATAATTAAGTAAATTGTTTCATAATTTCCAAATTATTTTTTTAAATTTACACTTCCTAAATTTACAGCAAATGACGTCGCATGGATATTTCGTGATGTGTGTTTAGACGTCAGTAATATAGATATCATGTTATCCATGTGACGTCGAACAAATGTGCTGTGTAAGTTCATATTTATTTAAAAGAAATATTGAATATATCTCTGATCTTAGAAGCAAAAAACTTCGTAAAAATATATGAATTGATTAAAATCACTTTTATGCATTATTGATTCGAAAGCAAGCAAATGTGAGAGATTTTTCAAAGACAAAAGCTATGAAATGTAGGCGTTAAAAAAAAGCGTAAAGCGAAAAGATATATAACTTATACAAAAGACCTATGTATATCAAAATGCGAAGACGTATATTACAACATGTAATAAAACAGTTAAAGCAAAGCGATCTCTATACTGACAACAATTAAACAAACACATTTAAGACAGATTTAGTGCAACGTGGACAGGATTTCGGTTTGATCATTTTAGTAATCAATAGCTTGGTTCATGGCTAAACCTCTGAAAACTCACGGGATTGAAAGACGTTCTAAGAATCTCTTTGAAATTGAATGATGTATCAACGTACAACTGCGCCTCGATAATTTGCTGTTATTTTAATCTTTATTATCTTCAGTTACTTTGTATATCTTAATTGTTAATTTCAAATTTTTAATTTTAATACTAGGACATATAAATCAAGTCATCCCATAAATCAAGTAAAATTTGCAAAACAGTCTTAGGTTTTTTATTTTTATAATCTTTTTAACAGATATTAATGATACAAACTGACTAAATAATCATTATTTGTCGTAATTTTTATCCTTATTCATATATCTAAATAATGTTTTTTTTTTCACTGAATCCATGATCATAAAATGTTCTAATATTGAATCCGAAATAATTCTTTATTCTACCATGATATGCAACATAGAACAAAGATAGATATTTCTAACATATCTTATTGAGACATCAGTAACACGTTAAATACAAAATTTGACTTACCTGCGAATAACGAAATTGAAGAGCATTACAGTATATTCTTTCAAGACACACAAATGCTATTAATCAATTATTCATTATTATAAATTCATCACACAAATATTAAGTAAAAATGGTATTAAGCGATGTCTGAAACAGCCAATTAAATTGTTATAAAATGCTGAGCAAAAATTATTTATTTATTTGAATAAATAATTTATTTATTTCAATTATGTTAGTTCAATAACTCACAATTTTATGTTTACAGCAAAATAAATTATTGCAACAATCTGAAAAAGAACTAATTTACTATAAAATATATTGATAGACTTATACAAAAATGTAGCATAAATAGATTATTTTAATATTTATATTTACACTTTACTTATACATATATATCTTTAAAGTTAATTTTTTAATATGAAAATGTTTGACATAATGTATCAAAAAATTGCGATAGTTTTTAAATAATTTTTATTGAAAGTCATCTCTATAAATCTGAATTACAAAATAGATAACTAAATCCAACTAATTAATAATTTTTCAAAAATTTGTGATTTAACTTTTGCTGGATTAAAATTATAACAGATGTATCGATTATTTTCCAGATGTAAAAGCTTTGTAAACCAGACTTTTGAGAGATAAAATTGGATATACGTAGATATGTAAAACAAACTATACACTCATCACGGAATCAAACAATCGCGAAATTCAATCGACAGAGTTATCGCGATGTATAGGTAGATAGGACGAATCACGATATAATTGGATATTGATTCCTGTGAAGATTTCAATGAGATGACAGGCAACACGGCGAGAAACGATTCACTGATGAATGATCGCACAGCAACGATGGATCTTCTAATAATGATGAGAGAATATGCATCTTGGTATTATAATAATATTAATAAAAATATTGTTTATAAAGTATCGTACGTCATTTAAATAACAATTAATGTTTATAGGCTTCTGTTTCGTCACATAATGTTTTTTTTTATAATCGATCGAA